AAAGGAAAGGAAAGGAAAGGAAAGGAAAGGAAAGGAAAGGAAAGGAAGGAAAAAAGGAAGGAAAGAAGGAAGGAAAGAAGGAAAGAAAGAGAAAGAAAAGAAAGAAGGAAGGAAGGATGTTTCAATTTGTACTCAGTCCATCAGCTCACTGTCTTGAGGTGGATGATATGCTTCATCTTGGGTCCTTTGAAATTGTGTTAGAGTATCTAAGCCTTTCACAGTTGTTTATATTTACAGTATTGGTGTTATGGTATAAGCTGTTCTCCTGGTTTTGCTCCCTTCCCTTTGTATCAGTCCCTACAAGTCTCCCCAGTTTTTTTTTAAACCATCCCTTTCAACATTTCTTATAGCACAATTGTATTTCATTAACTTTATATATCATAACTTGTTCATCCATTCCCCAGTTGACAGGCGTCACCTCAGTTTCCAATTGTTTGCCACCACAAAAAAAAAGGAACTGCTATAAATATTTTTGTACATGGAAGTCCTTTTTCTCTTTCTTTGATCTCTTTGGGGTATAGACCTAGCAGTGATATCTGTGAGTCAATGGGTACACATAGTTTAATAGCTTTTGAGGTATAATTCCACATTGCTTTCCAGAATGTTTGGAATAGCTCACGCTGTACCAAGAGTACATTAGCGTGCTTGTTTTCCTATGGGCCCTCCAACATTTGTCATTTTCCTTTTTAATTATCTTAGCCAATCTGATGTGAGGTGTGTGAGGTGGTGCCTCAGAGTTGTTTTAATTTGCATTTCTCTAATTATTAATAATTTGTATATGGCTATTGATAGCTTGGATTTCTTCCTCTGAAAACTGCCTATTCGTATCCTTTGATCATTTGTCATTTGGAAAATGGCTTGTAAATTTGACTCAATCTTAGAAATAAGACCTTTATCAGAGAAACTTGCTGCAAAGATTTTTCCCTCAGATTCCTGCTTTTCTTCTCATTTTAGTTGTATTGGATTTATTTGTGCAAAAATGTTTTAATTTTATGTAATCAAAATGATCAATTTCACCTCATCTGAACCTCTGTCTCTCACTCTGTCTGTCTCTATCTCTATCTCTGTCTGTCTCATCTCTCTCTCTCTCTCTCTGGTCATGAACTCTTTTCCTGTCCATAGATCTGATAGGTAACTTTTTTCCATAATCTACTGTTTTGCTTATGATTTCACTCTTTATGTCTAAATCACGTATCCATTTTGAACTTACCTTGGTATATGGTGTGAGATGTTGATCTATACCTACTTTCTGCCAGACAACTTTCCAGTTTTTCCAACAGTTTTTGTTGAATAGTGAGTTCTTGCCCTAGTAACTGGGATCTTTGGGTTTATCAAACTCCAGGTCACTGCTTAAGCATGTAGTATATGCAAAGCCCTGTGTTAGGTGTTGGATACCAGAACAGCAAAACAACACAACAGATTCTGTACAGAAAAGGAAACCTAGTAAAGTAGGGGAGAGAAGTGAACAGGAGAGAATGGGAGAAAATGGGAGAATGGATGTTTAGGAGGGGAAAGGAAAAGGAGAGGGGGGGAAATATAGGGGAGGGATAGGGAGAGAATAGACAGACTAAGAGAGACAGAGAGAGAGAGATCTACTTCAACACCCTTAATCTAGCATAGAGAAGTAGGATAAGACAGAAGGAGTAGGACAAAAGGAACTCTTTTAAAGAAATTCAGGAATGTAATTGCCTGAGGATTTGCATATATCTTTGGGGCTAATGGCTGCTCATTCATGGATCTCTTTTGCTCTTTTCTCTTAATACAATTTTCTTTTGTAATATTGTGAAATGCAAAGTTATGAGTGGGGAGTTATTCTCAGTACACTGGATAGGGGAGGGGGTGGGCGGGCTGTGCATACATTATCTGAGTTTTCCTGGGTTGGGGTTCTGAACTATGAGAGTAAGCAAATTT